CCGTACGGGATGCATCACTGTATTGCTGTCCTAATGTGTCCGGTGAACCGTGGCGCACACTCAGGCTCTGATTTTAACACAGATGTTTGTGCAGAAATGCTTCTGCACAGGTGATATGTTTCCAGACTTGAAGTGCTTGTGAAAAAAAGCACTAGATTGCACAGCTTTGCAATGCAACTTTCAGATTTGCATCAATGATCGTTTTAATGAGGCACTTTGTGACTTCACTGCAAAAATCTAAAGTGTATTTTTGCTTTATTTTCCAGTTAAAATACCTAAAAATCCAATCTTTGTCTTGGAAAAATTCAAACAAGATAAAATTCCTCAAGAAGCAATATTGCTTAACATATAAAGACTCTTTTTAGTGATGCATCTTTAATACGGCTGTATTTTTCTTGCTACACTGACAGATTTATTCACTAAAAAAGTGGAACAAGTGAATTTGTGGAAATTCATAATTTATTTTGTTGATGCAGCTTATTGATCATATTTTAAATGATTCATCCATGCATATTTAATTTATTTATTTTTTTAGAACTATTATGTAATATTTTTTTTTGTCATTTTTAATCAAAAACTGTGACGACTCCAACTGATCAACAAACGATGGATAATCAAGTCTCACCCTTTTTCTGTTTGTTTTGTGTTTCGATAATCTGTTTCTCGTTGTACATCACAGTACGGAAGAGAAGATCTGTCACTATTTTCGTATCATCGCAACTTTAAATTGTTTTGGAGATTTTTAGGTATTTTACTGGAAAAAGATTAAATAAAAGTCTTTTTTTTGCAGCATTAAAATCATTGTTCTACTTAATATATTTATATATGTATATATAATATATATATATATGAAATTATCAGTAATCTATTTACACAAAATTACATGGTGCAACTTAAATGGAAGAATTAAATTAGGTCTTAATTAGGTTTGGACACAAGCTTTGTGCTTTGTCCAGCATGAAGATCTTTATATTTCAATTCTAAAGTTTCCTGCCCTCAAAAGTGCTTGAATGAAAATGCAGTTCCCAGAGATAAACATTCCAGTGGCCGTGAAAAGGCTGCCTTAGTCGTTTCTCCCTCTGGTGACTTTATTTCAGCGTATTAAGCCATGAGAAACCAGGAGCGGTCATTTTTCACATGCTTCGAGAGCCTGTGCTGACGCCGCACGCTGAGCTTTTCTTCTTGAAGATGGACACAAATGAACTCCACAACCGCTTAAACGCTAACTGGTTTCCAGAGGGCACATTAAAGGGTTTGCATCTCGAGACAAACTTAGACAAACAAAGAGAGCTTCTTCGTCTCGTTTCATTCTGAAAAACCGAACAAGGGAAAATGAAGAGCTGTTTTGCCAAGAAAACGCACTGGTTTGCGCGAGCACAAAAAGATGATAAAATTAAGCACTAATTACAGCTAAACCCTGATGGTAAATTTAGTCTTTACTGAGTTAAAAGATTAGTCAAAAGCAATTAAAAGCCAAGAGAAAAGAAGGAAGATGCACACAGACCCATGTTAACCCACCATGCAAATGGAAAACAGAAGATTGAGTTTGAGGACTTAATGGTACTCTAAAGTAAAACAACTAATTTTAACTAAAATGTTGCATGTTGTTGCATCATACAAAATGAATTTGTATGATGTAATTTGTTTTGAAACTAAAATTAAATAAAATGAAAAAAAAAAAAGTAGTTATGAAGAACCACCCTAACCCCACACCTAATGCTAACTAAAATAAATTCCGTAAAATTTACGGTAAAAAACCGGCAGCTGTGGTTGCCGGAATTTTACCGTAAAAAATACGGTAGCAACGTTTTAGGTTTTACAGTTTTAACTTAAATTTACAGTTAAATACCGTATTTTCATTAACTGATAAAATGTTAATGTTAATTTACCAACCTATTGAAGTACTGAAATCTGTTTTGTACCTTTGTAATACACTGATAACCACCAAATGCAGGTGGTGATGAGAAAGTCACATGATGAACCAAAGCCCATCACAAGCAGCTTTTAGATAATAACATATATAGAATGTGCACAGTGTCATTCACACAAACGCTAAACACCATCAGGTTTTTACTGTAGCATTTTTACAGTCTTTTACCGTTAAATTCACGGTCATTTTTTACAGTGATAGAAGGAGTAAGCAGATTGTACGATTCATAAAAATGAGTGGCACCAGTTGTGTTTCTATGAAATGAGAGCACAAGTTCGCATTTTGATATGAGAAACATCAAAGTAGTGCCGGTTTCAGTCAGGACCAGTGTTGGGCTCGTTACTCCAAATTATGTAATTTATTATTCGTTACCAGACTAGTTACTCATTTCAGAAGTAATATTATTACTTTACTTATTACTATCTGACAACAGTAATTAGTTACACTACTAGTTACATTACTTTTCCTTCTCGCCACACAGAAGTTGTAATTGTGTATCTTCCCCATAAAATTCTTCTAAAATGTTACAAACAATATATTTCCGCCTCATAATTTGACCAAAATCTACATTGGAATCGCAGTCAGAAGTTATTACAAACACTCAATGGTGATTAATAGTGACTTTTGAGTAAAAGTATTGTATTAATTGTCATGTGTAACGTGAAGCTAATTGTAGCTCTAATTTCTCTGTTACCCAAATATGGTTATACTTCATGAAGTATTTTACCATAAGAAATCACATAAGTTCATAAGACTTTTAATTATAGTAGTATTATATCGGGATCAGAGGGATGTGGGTGGGCAAGCCATGTAATGCCAGAGTAAAGTAATGCCACAACGATCTGTCTTAAGATCACATTTTCTCATGACAAAATCAGTGAATGGCAATATTTCCATCCCCTGAATGTAAGCTTTTCCATATTACAAGCATTCCTGATGCACTGGTGACTTCATGTGCCTGTGCAAGTCGTGACAATTATGAAAATAAATCTAGGAATTATTGGCTTGTTGGATTTCAAATCAGTAGGGGTTGAGGCATCAAAAGTAACTAGCTGTTTTATGGATGGTAACTGTAATAGTATTACTGAAATCTTATTAGTAATTAGTTACACTAATAAAAAGTAATATTACTACAGTAACTAGCTACTGCCCAACACTGGTCAGGACAAGCAAACTGATATACAAACCCGATCTCATGAGAAAACACAACTATTTTACAAGGTGCCAATTGCGTATGAATTTGTACAATGTGATTTGTATGGAAATGTATGATTTTTAGAAAGAAAAAAAAAAGTAAGTATGATGATCCACCCACAACCCCATGCCTTAAGTTAACCCTCGTTGTGGCATAAGCAGATCGTACAAAAATGTACTAATGAGATTGTACAAATTTATACAAATTAGCGGCAGCAGTTTTTTTCAACATATATTTTTTTTTTAACATCTGTGATGCAATACAAGAGACATGAAAGTAGTGCCAGCTTCAGTCAGAACGAGCGAACTGATGATTTTACCATAAAATATATCAAATAAAATAATGATTTTATGGTATATGTAAGGTATTTTAACCACTTATGTACATACCATGGTATATGAATATGTTAATCCAACAGTAACATGATCTATGATACTATAACTTTACTGTGGTACAGTACTCTTTTGTAAGGGGGGCCAGGGTAGTTCTTGTCATGCTGGAATGTGACGATATACAATCAGCTTCTTTTTGCTACCCATTCAGATCGGTAATATTTCGAAACATCATGACAACATGAGGCACATTGCACCTCAAAAGGCATCAGCTGAGAAACTCACTGCTCCAGACATAAAAGGACTACAATCCCACATAGCATATGGACTTCCTTCTGTCCGACTCTCTAACACAGAGGAAAGATCTTTGATTGGACTTTTCTGTAATCAAATGCTGCAGTATGGAGAGAGGTGTCGTAGGCTGTGCTTAAATGTCTTCTGCTTTTCTGTTATGACTCAACACTGTAGCAGCAGAAAGGACTTTTTTTTTTTTGAGTTGGCATAAAAATAGAACAAATATCCATTTGAAAAATATCTTATTTTAGAAACTCTGACAATAACCAAAGCAATAAAAGAGGTCAATCTGATAAAGAGACTGCTTGTATTGCACTCTTTATTTGTATATACAGTTATTAGCCATGCCAATAAAACAAGCTAAATAATTGTTATTATTTTGTTTTCATTTTAATATTTAAATGTATTATAGTTAGCATTTATTTAATTTTGTAAATAATTAATACTTTTTTTTTTTCAGTTTATTATCTTATTTATTTTTTATTTTAAATATTGATAGTATTATTTTATTGCTATCAGTGCTACCTGTTATTTGTATTCATGCTTTAACAATATTGTGTTGTATTGTATTTATTTAGCATATTTATTTAGATTTTTCTATGATTGGTACCTATTATTTTATTAATGGTTTGCTCATATTTATTTATTTATTTAATTTTGTTTTATTATTATTATATTTTCATGCATTTGTTTTATTTAAAATATTTATTTTAAATGCATTATACATGAGAGGTATTTATTTTATTCATTTATAAATGCATTATTTATTATTCTATTATCATATGTGTTTTTTTTTATTTATTTTATTTTATTGGTACTATTATTTCATTACCATCACTAGTACCTGTTATTTGTATGGATGCTTTGATATTATTGTAAATGTTTTTATTTATTTATTTTATAAATAATAAATACATGTATTATATTATTATCATAATTTCTTTCTTTTTTATTTTAAATACTGGTACTATTTTATTACTATCACTGGTATCTGTTATTTGCATTGATTATTTACAATATTGTGTAGAATTATTGTAGTTAGCGTTTAGTCATTATTTATGTATTTAAAAATGTATTATTTATTTGTTTTTTATTTAAATTCTTTATTTTAAATTGATTATACTTAGCATTTTTTTTAATGTTTTTATAAATACATTTATTACTACTACTACTATTTTATTACTATCAATGGCATCTGTCTTTTGTATTGATGCTTTGATAATATTGCATGTAACATGCACGTACAGGGAGGCGGAGTCAGACGGTTGTTCCCATGGTACTTTGCGCGCAGGTGTCATGGCGGCTCTCTAGGCAGCAACAGTGCGGGTGTTTATTATTGTTAATAAATCGCTTTGATTTTTCATGTGATGCATGTAACGAATCTTAAGGATTATCCGACTTTTCCGCGGACGCGCTAAAACCTCTTCAGGACGCGTCGAACGCTCACAGAGGCACTTTATTTAGTCATAAACTAAGCTACGCTAGCAGCTGTGCATAAAGTGCGTTTATAAACTCAGAATAACTCATAATCCAGCTCACACACGCGCTTAGAAACTTTCCATTACAAACAGGTTTTAAAACGAAGACTATGAGCACACAAGTGAGTTCATCTCTAATATGAACACACCCCTGCATGTTTTCTGGCTTATTGTATCTATGGTGATCAGAATAATGATTGTATGTGATATAAATATGTTAATTGTTCTGTTTTTAGTACAGTATTCTATTCAAGCAGGAGCATGGTGAGTACACACACACTTAGTCATCTGTTCTGATTTAGAGGCCAAAAATATTTTTTGGGCAACATATTTGGGCACAGCCAAAGAATCTCTGTGTTTCTGCAGCTCACGAAGATGCCATCTGGACCGCGGCATGGGGTCGCAGCGAGAAGGACGGGTCAGAAACCATCGTGACCGGCTCTTTGGACGACCTGGTAAAAGTGTGGAAATGGTAAATCAGTGAATAAAGTGCAATCAAAGCATCAACTAGTGATTAAAAAAGTGTTTGTTTCTGAACATACGTCACTTGTTGTGATGGCTCGCAGGTCGGATGAAAAGCTGGAGCTGCAGTGGACGCTGGAGGGTCACCAGCTGGGTGTGGTGTCGGTGGACATCAGTCAAAATGGAGCGATTGCCGCCTCCAGCTCTCTTGATGCTCATATTCGGCTCTGGGATCTGGAGACGGGCAAACAGATTAAGTCCATGGACGCAGGCCCAGGTGAGCTGCGAATGTATTTATTTATATTTAAAGATCGCTTTAAATGCGTGAGTGTGACGCAAGGTTATCATTAGCTGAAATAAAATATTTAACATACAAACTAAAAGTTTAAAAATTAACTAAATAAATGTAAACTTGATAATAAAAAAAAAGTATATAGACATAAAAAAGACAGAAAAAATTGCTAAAACTTCAAATTACATTTTTTATGAATTGAATGAAAACATAAAAATATAAAAGTCAAACTCTAGTATATAAATACACTAAAATAACACTGATGAACTCTTTCTATACCATCTGCAGTTGACGCCTGGACGGTTGCCTTTTCTCCTGACTCCAAATACATTGCCACTGGCAGCCATCTAGGGAAGGTCAACATCTTCGGCGTGGAAAGTGGGAAAAAGGAGCACTCGCTGGACACCAGAGGGAAATTCATTCTGAGCATCGCTTACGTAAGAGTCTCTGAGTATCTGAAATAATGCTGCATGGGCAACATTAATCTCATCTGAAGCTAATGGCACTGATGTCTTATTTCTGTCAAACAAAAAACAAAATATTCAGTGGATAGAAGTGTTGGGCTAGAATCATTTTATGCTTTTGTACTGAATTGGATCATTAAAAAAAAAAAAAAAAAAAAAAAAAATATATATATATATATATATATATTTAACCTTTTTTAATATATTATTTTAAAAAATTCTATATAAACTAAAGTTTGGAGTTGGGAAGATTTTACAGTAATATTACAATTTAATTACATTCCTCCAGTCTTCAGTGTCACATGATCCTTCAGAAATCATTCTAATATGCTGATTTGCTGCTCAAGAAACATTTCTGATTATTATCATTTAGGGCTCTGATAAAATATTTTATCAGCAAGAAACGGTTTCTTGAGTGTAATTGATATTATTAAAAAAAGTCTTAATCCAGTAATCAAACCACATATGAAGTATCGAAAAAGTCATGAATATGTATTGGATAAAAATTGTGGGAAATATGTAAATAAGTGTCAGTGTAACAGTCCGCATCAGTGTTCAAAAAGGAACTAATTTCACAAATGACAGTCCAAATTTCATTCACATTACACATTGGAATGAATATTTGAGAAAATGCTGATTTTCCTTATAAAGTTTTCCAAGCCCTAATAATTGTCTCTCTCTCTCTCTAGAGTCCAGATGGAAAGTACTTAGCCAGTGGTGCTATAGACGGAATCATTAATATCTTTGATATTGCGACTGGGAAACTCCTGCACACGCTGGAAGGTGAAAATCGTCTCCCACATGATTCAAGCTGTCTTCAGTTTCCTCTATTAAAACGCTCTGTAGACGTTCTGTCCGTTAGTCTGCTAGATGCATTTAGGGTGATTATGGGTTACGTGAATGCGGTGGAAAAACCTGTTTGCGTCTCTGGCCGTCCCTCAAGGGTCGTAAACTTCAGCTCCTGTCGCAGAGCGACTCCATTTTTCCTCTTTGTCTTCCTGCATCGCTCACCCATCCCTTTCATTTGCTCCAAGTACAGCTGGAAGTAATGTTGAACATTAGATGCAGTTCAGTTTTTATTGTACTACACTAGTGGTCATAAGTTATAATAATTAAGAATTTTTTTTTTTTTTTTTATGTTTTTGGAATAAGTCTCTTATGATCACTACGCTTGCCGCGATAGACGGTGTTGACGGTGTTTATACGTCACTTGCCCACCGCTACACCGACTCCCACCGTCGTTTTGATTTTTTTGTAGTAGCCTAATAAAAATCATTTAGTTAAGTAAAAGAACAGACACTACAATTAAAAACTGAACGCGGCTACTCAATGCAGTGTGCTGAACGTCCCAATTTGGACATTTTCACTTAGGGGTGTACTCACTTTTGTGGCCAGCGGTTTAGACATCAATGGCTGTGTGTTGAGTTATTTTGAGGGGACAGCAAATTTACAGTGTTATACAAGCTGTACACACTACTTTACATCGTAGCAAAGTGTAATTTCTTCAGTGTTGTCACTTGAAAAGATATAAAATATTTACAAAAATGTGAGGGGTCACGTCGATTAACCGGTGGGAAAATTTCCTCACCGTCACAACCCTAATGCTCACCAAGGCTGCATTTATTTGATCAGAAATACAGTAAAAGCAGTAATATTGTGATATATTATTACACTTATATGTGGCAAAAAAAAAAATTTCCAGGAGTCTTTGAGGAATAGAGTTTAAAAGAACAGCATTTATTTGAAATATAAATATTTTGTTACATTTGAAATCATTTTAAAGACTGTTAATTATGAAAGTAATGATGCTGAAAATTCAGCTTTGCACCACAGAAATTAATATTTATATAAAATATATTACAATAGAAAACAATTTTCCATCTATGTACTGTATTTTTGATCAAATAAATGCAGACTTTATTACTGTTTATACCACACTATTTACATACAGACATCTTAAAGGTACAGTAGCCAAACTGGGATTAACAAGAAGACATGCTGTTTTTTTTTTTTTCTTCAGGTCATGCGATGCCTATCAGGTCTCTGACTTTCTCTCCAGACTCTCAGCTGCTGGTAACCGCATCAGATGATGGCTACATCAAGATTTATGACGTGTACGTTGCAAATTTGTGTGCATCTTTCACCTTCCAACATATTTGATTTGAATCTCACGGTCTGGTTGTTTGTGTGTGTCTCACAGACAGCACGCTAACCTGGCCGGCACTCTCAGCGGTCACGGATCCTGGGTGCTGAGCGTGGCCTTTTCACCTGACGACACACACTTCGTGTCCAGGCAAGAGTTGATGCGCTTCAGATGAATAGAAAATGTAAAATGTCGTTTGTGTGTTCTTAACTGTTACTTGTTTCTGTTTTAGTTCGTCTGATAAGAGTGTAAAAGTGTGGGACACAAGCAGCAGGTCATGTGTGAACACATTCTTTGATCATCAGGACCAGGTGAGAGATGTATGACGGTTTCCATAAAAATATAAAGCAGCATAACTGTTTTCAACATTGATAATAATCAGAAATGTTTCTTGAGCAGCAAATCAGCATATTAGAATGATTTGTGAAGGATCATGTGACACTGAAAACTGGAGTCAATTCAGCTTTGTCTAACCCTAATCATAGGAATAAATAACTTTTTCAAATATATTCACATAGAAAAGAGTAAATCGTAATATTTCACATTAATAATGTTTTTACTGTATTGTTGGTTTATAAGCAGATCACGGTTTGTTTTAGTTTCTGAAGGCCATGAATCATGCATGCTCATGTTCAAGTGTGTGTGTGTAGGTTTGGAGTGTGAAGTACAACCCCACAGGCTCCAAAATCGTCTCTGCAGGTGATGACAGAGCCATCCACATTTACGACTGTCCCATGTGAATCTCCACAAAACTACAGCCCCCTGATGAAGCTCTGTAAGAGTCACACACTCTCAAGACCACAGCAAACATGCAAATGCTTTTTTTTTATTGCTAAATTCAACATCTGTATATGGTATTACAAATAAATGTCTTTTTTTTCCTAGTTTATTTTTGTTGTTGTTGCTATTTATCCTGTTCACAATTCACACATTCAATGATCGATGATGTTGCATGACATTTTTAGTTGGATACACATTTTATTATGAGATTTATATTATAGTTTTTTAACTCCTTGATGTTTCCCGTTTTTTTTTCACACGACTTAAGTGCAAACATGGCTTTGCTGATCACTCTCCGCCCTCTACAGGACACCAAATGTTACTGCACCAATTCAGTCCTTGCTTTGGACTGTTATAGCCGACATGTAAAAATGAATTATAATACATAAAGATCCAAAGCAGAACTTGTTTGAATGCTGAACCCTTTGTAGAGCATGTGAGAAAATCTAGAAGAAAAAAAAAATCCCAAATGGTTTCTTTCTTGTTTGGTTCATTTAATTCACTCTTGATTGTGACACTAAGATCCAGTTAGAAACAATCTTATAGAAAAAAATTACTATGGCAGTTATATTTAAAATATGAAGCGCATTTCTAAAACATTTAAACTGGAAAAGTTTTGGCCCCAAAACACTGTTTTTCTGAAGGTTAAAGACACAATATGACAAACCAAAGAAGATTCAATCAGACTGAAATATCATTCTGCAGAACATGATGCTTTCTAACTTTTCTCACAAGGCTTTTCACACCATTGTTTAACCCTGGGTAAAGGCCACTTTTAAAATTAATTGACACGATTTTACAGTCGTTTTTGTACAATAATTTCATAGTAACTACACTTGAAGAGCTTAATATAGAATTAGTACATTTTTATTTACTATAAACATTTTTTTACGTTTTCCAGGTATGAATTTCAAAATGAATTGCCTTGTTAATTTTAATATGTACTGATATTTCCAGATTTTTCATGACCATGGAAATGTTAGTTACATGTTTAGTCAATTTTCACCTCATTAAATATTCATGAGCACGATGGAAATGTTAGTTACATGTTTAGTCAATTTTCGCCTCATTAAATATTCATGAGCACAGTGAAATATTTACTGTTCATCATATTTACTTTTACACATTATTCAAGTGTCTGAGGTCAATACTTAAAAATATCAAACCACGACTAAATATGTAAACTGGAGTAATAAATTAGACTATTTAGTGTGTTTCAGAAGACACTCGTCCAAACAATATTAATAACCTTGTAAATATGCAAATAAGACAAAACTGACTACTCCGAATAATTTGTTAGGGTTTAACATGACCCAGGGTTTCAAGTGTGAAAAGCCCATACATGTTCTCATTCTTCCTACCATGTAACAGATGTGATGATCTCACTTCCTGTCAGATGACGTGAAGAGCACTGCATGAGAGTCACAAGAAAGTGTCAAATTCACCATTTCAAAATGATTTTCACTTCAAAACCTCTGATAAACAAACACATTCCGGGCGAAAAGGACAAACGAGATCCATGACGTCTCGTTACAAAATACTAGTTCGGGCCGGACAAGTTCATGACAACAGGCTACAAAATCCACAAAAAAGTCAGAAAGGAAATTTGAGCGCCAATTATTGCCTTGTCCTCATAAAACATGAAAATAATAAAAGGCATCTGTTTAAAAGGCTGAGGTATGCGTGTTTTCACCAGTGTCTGCTCTCCACCAGTTCAGGCCGCAGACTGAGTCTCTTTAGTGTCTCGTAACCGATGACGATCATGACTGACGTGGGCGTGGAGGAAATGATGCGTGCAGACAGACCCTTGGTGAGACCCCACACGCCCTCTTCAGCCAGGAGCTGCTTAAACGTCTCCATCACAGACGAGCGACCTTCAACCTGCAAACACACACTGTGTATTAACTCACAAAGCTTAAATCCATAGTAATAATGACATGGTAAATCATTTTAATGAGCCATTTCAAAACAAGAACCGTTTTGCGCTTTTGAAATATAAGTGTGATGTATTGTAAATATAGCAAAAATGGCTCATTCAGAATTCATCATGGTTATTATGAGCACATTAACATAGAATTATCAAATATTACTATTAAGCAACGTCATCCTGATGATTAACAATGTGAACAACATCAGTATTACACAGTTGTTATTTACATACAGATGTATTAAAGATATAGTAGCAAAAATAGTTTTATTGTGAGGATCAGAAAACAGCACAGACAAAGCTGGACTTCTATAGCTAGATTATAAATGGACTTAAAGATTAATTAAAAAAAATAGTGCTTGTATGTATGATAATACATAAATATATTCAATTAAATCAGTGTTATTTTAATATTGATATTCTATTATAGTTTTTGTTAATATTTTGAATTCGATTTTTTATATATATATATTTTCTGTTCTCATTTTATTTTTAGCTCAAGGTTTAGTCATTTTTTCAAGTTGTGTTTTGTCATTTTTGTCTATAACAGTTTTTAATTCATTGTTATTTATTAGTTTTATTTTTTTACATTTAGATTTTGTTATTTTAGTACTTAAAGTTAAACTAAAAGTAAATGATAAATGGTGCCTTGCCTACTAGCCTAAATATGAGTTATGATTTATTTTTATTTCAGCTAACATTTACTTTATTTCAAGTATAGTTTAACTATAATCCTGATTTAAATAGATGTATTTTATACATTTTAAAATTATGCAAATAAATAAAAATAAATAAGAATATTATCTTTAATACACTACTGTTCGGGTTGTTTGGGGTCAGTGAGATTTTGTTGTGAAAAATTTGTTTAAAATGTTACAAAATATTTCTGTTTCAAATGAATGCTGTTCTTCTGAACTTTCTATTCATCAAAAAATCCTAACATAATTATAACAAATCAGCATATTAGAATGATTTCTAAAGTATAATGTGACACTGAAGAAGAAAAAATAAAATTTAGCTTTGCATCACAGGCATAAATGACATTTTACAATATATTTACATAAAAGTTATGTTGAATTGTAATATTTCACAGTATTTTTACTGTGCTTTTGATCAGATAAAAGTCTTGGTGAGCATAAGAGACTTTCAAAAACGTTCAAAAATCTTACCGCCCCAAACCTTTAAACGGTACACAAATAATAACAATAAATGATATGAATTACAGCAGGTTATGGGTGAGTCTGTACCTGAACTCGGGCTCGGACGACATCCATGGGGTTGGTGAGGGTGGAGGCTGTAGCTGCAGCCATTGGTCCCGCCACGGCCTGCAGGAGGAGGTGCGGACAGTCAGCAGGAGCCAGTCTGGAGAGCTGCTCTGGAAACACACACCCACAGGCTTCATGTGATGCAGTAAGAGCATTTAGGAAATGACATATTTTAGTTCGGCAACTCAAAATATACTGGAGAACCGAAATCACTGACCAGAACAGTGACGTTTCATTAATTAGCGCTTCCCCACTTATTTGTGCTTTGTTACTTTGAATATGAAACAAAGTCTGAGTTTTCAAATTGTCAATTTTATCAGGAAATTCCCAGATGTGGCGCATTTTAATGTGCCGTTAATGTGCCTCAGTTCAGGCAGCACGTGAATCCATCATCTCTTCCTCTTTACTGCTAGTTATAGCAAGAAATCAGCATGAATGAACATCAGAAGGTATGTATATGTCTCATGCAATCGCTCAATCAGTGTTTCAACCGGGGAAAGACGTCAGTAAACATGTCACGTAACGTTATATTTACCTCAGAAAAACAATTTTCATAAACTCGCTAGTCAGCTAGAAGGAGCATTTTGCTAAATATATGCACTATATTACATATATTGGATATTGCATGTCTTAATTAATGCATGTTTGCATAAATCTGTTAACAAGTTTTTATGATAGCCATTTCATGCATAGACTTTGTTGTTTTCAATGTTAAACATTAACGAATATTCTAGTCATATTCTTTAAAAATACGTTTGAATAAGTCTGTCATGAAAACAGGTTATGACAGCCTGCATTTAAATGTTTATATTTCAACAATAAATTAAAGAAACATAATTTTACCATTAATTAGTTGATATTAAAACTGCCATTTTATTGTTTGCTTAACTTAAACAATGTAAACTTGTTTGTGTTGTTCACTGTAACAAAAATGCAACATTTCATTTAATGGCTGGTTATTTTTTAACTGAGTTTTGATTTGAGTGTTCATTATTATTTAATTATTATTAAATAAATGTAGTTGATTATTAATTTAACTCTATTTTTGGTTTGGTTTTCAGCTAAATGTTAACTTAAAGGGTTAGTTCACCCAAAAATGAAAATTACCCCATGATTTGCTAGATGTATATGACTTTCTTCTTTCAGACGAATACAATCAGAGTTATATTAAAAAGCATCCTGGCTCTTCCAAGCTTTATAATGGGAGTGGATGGTAGCCCAAAATTTTAAGTCCAAAAAATTGAACCAATCCATTATAAAAGAAGTCCACACGGTTCCGGGGGGTTAATAAAGGCCTTCTGAAGCGACGCAATGCGTTTGTATAAGAAAAATATCCATATATACAACTTTATAAACCTTAATCTCTAGCTTCTGCTAACTGTCGTACGCGCGTTCACGAGAGAGCGGCGTCCAGCGGATGACGTAGGCGTAGCGTAAACTCCAATGAGAATATGCTAGTCTCGCGAGAAACAAGTTTTGTTTACAGCAAAGGAAAACCAGTGTCCTCTTGGCTTATATTGAAATCCGCCGACATTTTTCGTTACAAATCCTCGTTTTGTACTACGAATTCGTAACTTTGTTTTGCTCTCTCCTCTGTGCTTCCACGTTCGTTACTTCCGCATTCGTCACCACGTTTACCTACGTGCTACGTCATCCGCTGGACGGCACTCTCTCGTGAATGTGCATACGACAGTTAGCGGAAGCTAGAGATTAAGGTTGATAAAGTTGTAAATATGGATATTTTTCTTACACAAACGCATCGCGTCATTTCAGAAGGCCTTTATTAACCCCCCGGAGCCGTGTGGACTTCTTTTATAATGGATTGGTTAAATTTTTTGGACTTCAAATTTTGGGCTACCATCCACTCCCATTATAAAACTTGGAAGAACCAGGATGTTTTCTAATATAACTCCGATTGTATTCGTCTGAAAAAAGAATGTCATGTACACCTATGATGGCTTGAAGGTGAGTAAATCATGGGGTAATTTTCATTTTTGGGTGAACTATCCCTTTAAATTTTGGTTTCAGTGTTTCTGTCAGAAAATAATTTTAGAGCATCACTAAATATTTATTTTCTTTACCTGCATAAAAGTGATAAAATGGCCACCAGACGGCGCTGTTGGGTATGTAGGTGAGGAGCGACGCCACATATCCACGATAAAAGCCCCGAAATCCATCCGTGTGAAAAACCTGAACCACAATGTCTCTGGTTTGACCAAATGTCACTTTGTGTTTGGACGTGGCCATCACTCTCTTGGGCTTGAGTTTGAAGCGTGTGAGCTGACAGCCCTGACCCTGCACCATCAGCTGCTGGGACACCACGTCGATGGGCACCGTGATGCTTTGGGCCACCAGTGAGGCCGCGCCTCCCGCCACCAGAGACTTGACCGTGTTATTGGACGAGTAACAGGACACGTATTTCCGTACCAGCTCGTAGGTAGTGATGTAGGCCTGACCTGAGATAAGCGTCAACGTGTTGACCATGAACCCTCGATAAAGGCCACGCACCCCCTCGGCCTTCAGAATCTTCCAGAAGGCGTCGAAGGTGCCGTTATAGAGCGACTTCCCCTTCTGGACCTGCAGTCTGGTGCGGATCAGGGTGAACGGGTAGACGGTGGCCCGTGTAATCATGGTCATGAAGACGCCCAGCGAGTAGAACTTCCTCTTGTCCAGATCTTCCCATTCAATGATCTGAATGTTGCACTTCTGTTCCATCATTGCCGCCGGTGACCTCACACACAAAATCACACACACACACACACTCGCTCCTCTCCTGCTCAACCTGAAATGACAAAATCACGACATTTCAAATAAGCTGCATGTTGTGTTGCAGATCTGAAGGTATAATGGATTGGTTCAATTTTTTGGACTTCAAATTTTGGGCTACCATCCACTCCCATTATAAAACTTGGAAGAACCAGGATGTTTTCTAATATAACTCCGATTGTATTCGTCTGAAAAAAGAATGTCATGTACACCTATGATGGCTTGAAGGTGAGTAAATCATGGGGTAATTTTCATTTTTGGGTGAACTATCCCTTTAAATTTTGGTTTCAGTGTTTCTGTGTTTGGGTCAGAAAATAATTTTAGAGCATCACTAAATATTTATTTTCTTTACCTGCATAAAAGTGATAAAATGGCCACCAGACGGCGCTGTTGGGTATGTAGGTGAGGAGCGACGCCACATATCCACGATAAAAGCCCCGAAATCCATCCGTGTGAAAAACCTGAACCACAATGTCTCTGGTTTGACCAAATGTCACTTTGTGTTTGGACGTGGCCATCACTCTCTTGGGCTTGAGTTTGAAGCGTGTGAGCTGACAGCCCTGACCCTGCACCATCAGCTGCTGGGACACCACGTCGATGGGCACCGTGATGCTTTGGGCCACCAGTGAGGCCGCGCCTCCCGCCACCAGAGACTTGACCGTGTTATTGGACGAGTAACAGGACACGTATTTCCGTACCAGCTCGTAGGTAGTGATGTAGGCCTGACCTGAGATAAGCGTCAACGTGTTGACCATGAACCCTCGATAAAGGCCACGCACCCCCTCGGCCTTCAGAATCTTCCAGAAGGCGTCGAAGGTGCCGTTATAGAGCGACTTCCCCTTCTGGACCTGCAGTCTGGTGCGGATCAGGGTGAACGGGTAGACGGTGGCCCGTGTAATCATGGTCATGAAGACGCCCAGCGAGTAGAACTTCCTCTTGTCCAGATCTTCCCATTCAATGATCTGAATGTTGCACTTCTGTTCCATCATTGCCGCCGGTGACCTCACACACAAAATCACACACACACACACACTCGCTCCTCTCCTGCTCAACCTGAAATGACAAAATCACGACATTTCAAATAAGCTGCATGTTGTGTTGCAGATCTGAAGGTACAGAGTTCAGAGGTCATGTGACTGCTGGGTTATGCCATAATCATATGCTCTGCAGAGATAATTTCTTGACACATGTAAACAAAAAAGCAGATATTGAACATCTGAAATCTGTGAAATACGTACATTTTTACATCCCAACAGCTCTTAATCTTAACTTAATTTTATTTATTTATTTTTTGGTAAATGAAGGTTCCATTAAAATGTCTTTAAACGGTTTACCCTGCCTTCATGGTTTATTTTTTTGCCAATTTTCCAATGCATTTTATGCATAGGTTTTGTTTATATTTGCCAAAGGGGGTAAAAATATTTATTATTAATATAATAAATTAATAACTGTGTATGCATTTTTGTATGAACAAGTTCACACTGAGCAAACAACAAAATAAGATCACTTTTAAAACTAAAAAAGGTGTTAATAAAAATGATAATAAAACAACATCCATCATAAACGTATAATGCAATACAATTAATAAAAATTACATTTTATTAATGATGTAAATCTAAATGTTTTCTAAAATCTTACAATAATCTCTAATTCTAAAAATGCCATATGTACCCCAGGATTATATCTGTCAAAATAATAATAATAATAAAGATTTTAATAAATATTTGGTTTTAAATGACATCTCTATTGTTCCAAAGTAAACATTAAAAATCATATTTATGGCATCATATTTGGAATTAACCAGAATAATAGGGTTTAGCAATTGCATTAGATTACAAATTAAATATCACCAACCATTAAAAAATAAAATAAAATTCTTAAAAAGAATGTAATAATTATTTGGAGCATTGCATTTTTTTTTTTTGACCACGAACAACACGCAAGTCTGAATGTTTCTAAAATCTTATTTTTTATATTAATTTCTAAATCACTAGAATGCCATACTTTCCACAGAATTATACTTTTCAAAATAAAATAAAAAAAACAATAATAGATACTTATTTTTTTTTAATTATCCCTGTTGTTCTAAAGTAAACATTAATAGCATCATATTTAGAATTATCCAGAAAAATAGGGCTTGGCATTTAAAAGATAAAGCACAATTTTATTACTAAAAACAATGTAATTATTTTATATTTATCTGTAAATTACTAGAACACCACACATTCCTCAGGATTATACCTGTCAAAATAAAACAAAAGTTTTAAAATTAATATTTATTTTAAAATTATATTTATGTTGTGTAAACATTAAAGAAAATTATTATTATATAAATATTATATTATATATTTATTTATAGCATCATATTTAGAATTGGCCTGTTTAAAACAATGTGTTAATATAACTGGGATGTTGTCAGTGGCAAAATCGCATTAGATTAGAAATCCAATATAAAAATTAAAACATTTTTACTTCTGAAAATAATAATTTAAGCTTTAAACTAACTTCCTGAATTTTGAGGGACCATACTACCTTGATGCAGCTCTTTTCAATGACAGATCTAAGAGACACTATGTACCACCATTAATGACTCTTCTGTCCTCCATCAGTTCTTTGGCTCTGACACAGAGCTGAATGTTTATCAGTCATAGTGACCTTTTCATGGTGAAGCTGCAAAAATGACAGAGGCCTCCTATCTACTGCGCATGCGCATTACACTAGACCCAAAACAAAAAGCAGCTTATGTTGTGTGCCTCCTCTCGCCCATCAGAAGTACATTACACTTCATTTGACCTCTCAGACACACGCTAACTCACCCGGTTAGCTCGCTATATTTGCTGTTTCTCCATCCAGCGGCCTCAAGCGGAGCTGCGCGGTCCTGTCATGAGACAAATCCGCTATTATGCCTCTAAAAACCGCATTTTGTCTGATCGATCTGCGGCCTGCAGCTCCTGATGGAAAGTCATGCCGATCGAGCCGAGCGCTCCTCCACACTTCCGGCGCATGCTGAAACGTCACTGACAGGCTGCTGCCTGTTGATTGGTCATTGACACAGAAGGAGCTGTTTGATGATTGGGCGGTGATGTGCAGTGTTGGGGAAAGTTACTTTTAAAAGTAATGCATTACAATATTGTGTTACTCCATAAAAAAGTAACTAATTACATTACCTAGTTACTTTTTTATGGAAAGTAATGCGTTACGTTACTTTTGCGTTACTTTTTAAATCTGGACAGGGCTTGCTTGTTTGTTTTTAAAATATTTGATTTTGAGTGCAAGTGAAATGGCTTTGCAGTGATTGTTTGATTTTGATGGAAGAGTCAGAGGTTTCGTGACTTTAGTTTGAGTATTGGATTGGATTTGTGTTTAAGGTTTTGAGAAAATGAGTGATGGTTTCAAGAAATATGTTTTAGCAATTCAGAAAAACTGTAATAGTAATGTAATAATATTAGTGTTATAGATTAGATAGATAGATAGATAGATGCCTTTTAGACATTTACAGTTGTAAATATTGTCGATAAAACATATTTAACATTACTAATATAGACAGGATCATTAAAAATAATATATTCTCTCTATATCCGCTTTTATTTCCATCAAATTAAGATGTGTTAATAAAACAAAGTGATAAAGGGTAGAGTAGAAGATACTGTTTGTTGATTGGACAAAGCTGTGCGCAGTGCTGTACTCTGATTGGACAGTTCTCCGGGAGGTTCTGTGTGCTGATTGGCTCGCTGTCGCGAGTGGAGTCGTGTTCATTTTAGGAGTCATCATGGCGCTCGGTTCACCTCAGCACGGTAAGGGCTGTTTTTACTGACAAAAACAACAATATTCATCTCATTTGCGCTCTGACAGATATATATATAACCTGTTATACAATTGTGTGTTAAAACAGCTCTTAAATATTAACTTTTAGAAGGATGAAACAGGCGGCTTTGTCGTTAGCAGTGCGGCTAGCGGCGAGAGAGCGACTGACATCCAGAACGATCACAAACTGATGTGTATCAAAGCCTAGTGAACTTGACAGCAACTGTTTTATGCGTGTAGGGTGCCTAAAAATATGCTCATTTAGCATTGAGACACAGCCTGTTATGTACAATGCTCGATTATTATGTATTGTTTGCAATAACACATGTGCACCATGGTACTACCATGCTTTCTGGACATGTACCATGATTTTCCGTAGTGTTCTTACCTTGCTGTACTATGTAAATACCGTAGTATTGGTATATGGTAATCACTTAGTACTTTTATGTGTATACATTTGATTTGTAGTATTACTATAGTTTTCAGTCACTATACTATAGTACTTTGTTAAGGGCAAAGCACAGCCTTTCTCTGTAGTTATTAAATATTTCTTAATAGTTATACAACTGCTTGTAACAAAACCTCTTTATCTTAATATGAGGTTGTCTTAAATGCTGTAAAACTTTCATAAATGGGACAAATAGTGTCTTAAAATGAACAAAATGTCCCCAAAACGGTAAAAACCTACATTGTGGGAAACATTGGGAGGGAATTATCCTCAAAAATGTACTAAAAATAGTCTTAAGGTCTGCAATGCCAAAAGGTTTCTTTTAGAAGTAAAAGGTGTATAATTATAATTAACTGTGCATATTAGTTTTCATGTCAGTGGACTGATCCTTCTGTAATCTGATTGTCTGTTATTTACTTTCCCACCCAGTGTCTTTATCTTCCATGTCATAAATATAGATCATGGGTTTTGTGTGTTTGGATGTGGCAATGCTGGTTTGTGTTCCTTTGCTGCAGTTTCTGTTTAATCTGATCTCATCTAACCTAATCTAAGGCATGCAGCAGACGCAGGCTGTGACTGAGTGATAAGCGTGTCTGTGCGTGTTCATCCTCCACACATGCAGTCACACAGGGTCACAATATACTGTGCTACACTGCTGTGCATCAGCACTAGTGTGTTTATATCATGCCCACGGATGAGGATTTGGTTTTGTTGATCTCTCTTTGATTAGTGAACTGTCACACTTTTGCTCAATTTAATGTGTCCTTACTGATTAAAAGTGTTCATTTATTTTAATAAAAATAAGAGAGAGCGAGAGGTTGATAGCAGTACAATTATGGATCTGTTTTTCAATACATAGTTGACTGTAAACAATGTCTACTCCAAAAACACAGTAAATGTTGTTTTTTGACACACAATTAAGGTAAAAATAGTAACAGTGATCACAAAACTCTGTATTGGTATAATATAAGTACTTCTGTGTCTTTTAACAATAGACTGCTTGGTAACACACAACAAAGAATAAAATGCCTGGGTTTTTCTAGTTTTGAAAAGAAAATAGACAGGTTCTTAAGTAACAGAAGCTGCCTTCTCTGCCTTCTTCCATGAGAGAAAACATGAAAATGGTTTATTATTGTTCTCAGTAACCAAGAGGGCTACTGCTTCTAGGCACAGCTAGGAAATGCAAATACTTAATTTGTGTTTGAATTTTGATCATAATATGCTTCTATAAATGTCAGTGTTCGGCTTTGAACCTGGATCGTGTCACTTTCATTTATCTCTTTCTCTTGTTACTGAATTTTTGTTGCATCCCTAAATTGAATGTTCACATGTCATTTAATGCTTGCGTTTCTGCCCTGAACAGTTGTGAATTGGGCTTGTAAGCTCTCAGTACTCACTGCCAACACGAGTCCCACAGCTGCACACTTGTGACTTCTAAGTGGGACTTTAGGAGGGAAGAGGTGAAGGCCAGTAAACAGAGGCGGTTTAAGAAGCGATACACTCTCTTTGAGTTATGTTAGCCTTGTAGATGTTGGTCTGCTGTAATCTGGGCCAGTTTTGATTCTGTTTGGTCATTGCAGATGCACATTACACAGTCAAAGCCAAACCCAAATCCAGATCAGATTAATAAGTTTTAAACAAACAAGCCATTATTTTCCTGTCACTGTTATGTAAATTACATTCATTTATCAGATCAATCTCAAAATCCTCAATAAGGTCTTTTATTCTGTACAGAACATCCATTCGGCCATTTGATCGACACTCTCCAGAGTGAACAGTATGAAGAGCGGCGATATTTCAACCCACAGAAGCTGAGTGATGTCAGATACGGTGAGTTACTCAATGCTTTAATGGAATTAAATCATGCACAGATGTAAGTGGCATCATTGCTAACATCACTTGTTATAAAAAATTTAATTAAATCTTGCAAAGTCTTGCAAAAATACGAACAGGCTCTTTCTCTTGTAGAGAAACTGCCGTTCTGTATGCGGGTTCTCCTGGAGTCCACCATCCGGAAGTGTGACGGGTTCTACATAAAGACAGACGATGTCTCCAGTATTCTGGACTGGCAGAAGCAGCAGAACCAGGCTGAGGTTGCGTTCTCACCAGCCAGGGTTCTGCTACAGGATTTTACGTGAGTAATCGACTAGGGCTGCAAAATTTGAAAAAAACAAATTGATTTTTTTCCCCTGAAATCGGTTTTATTTAGATTAACAGCCCTATCTTCATTCGCATGCTAACTGGGCCTGTTCATAAGGTTGGATATGTCCTGATAGCTCTATTGTATTCACAGGGGAATTCCTGCTATGGTGGATCTGGCAGCCATGAGAGATGCTTTAGCTAAACAGGGGGTCGATCCGAACCTGGTGAACCCCAGATGCCCCACAGACCTCATTGTAGATCATTCTCTGCAGATTGACTACAGCAAATGGTGAGAGTGAACGCAAAGGCTTAAGGACAGATTAAGGCAGTATTTATGTTTTAAAACCCAATAATTACAGCATTAACATAAACAATGATTACGGCCAGAATTCCTAACGTACACAGTAATTAGGGTGATAATGTATTGTGCTACTGTTTTTGTGAAAACAATCTATTTTTATGAGCTTAACCAGGCACGATGCGACATGTTGTCACCATCAAGCAACAAAACTGCTAACAAGCATTTGCCTGATTTCTCAGTGCCATCCAGGGCCCTCCAAGCCCCATGGATGAGAGTCATGGTGCCACCGTCAGATCTCCTGCCTGCCAACCATCTCCACGAGGGAGCAGCAGCAGCAGCGGCAGTCACTGTGCGGGTCAACGACCAGGTCATCGGGGCGGCTGCAGTAAAGCTTCCTGTTCCGACGCCCCCAGTGGCAGAAGCGCAGCTGTACAGATAGAGAATACACCCCTCCTGTGCCCCTTCCACCTGCAGCCCGTGTCAGAGTACGTCTACACCTCACACACACACTAACACATGCTCTCACATTAATCTGTCTGCATTCTCTGATGCCTTGATGTCTGTCTGACACACACAGGCCTGAAACGATGATCAGAAACCAAGAGATGGAGCTAATCAGAAACAAAGAGAGGCTGCAGTTCTTTAAGGTGAGTTTTCAGAACTTTCTATGATTTCTATTTACATGAAAACAACATAAAACGCCATTCACATCACATTGAAGTTATGAAACAAACTTTTAAACAGTACTTAAGTCTTGTTTTTTCACAATTCTCTCCTCCAGTGGTGTTCAAAAGCCTTTAAAAACATCAACGTGGTTCCGCCAGACATCAACACAGTGCATCAGTTGAATCTAGAGTACCTGTGTCAGGTGGTACAGGAAGGGGAGGGGTTTATTTATCCTGACAGTGTGGTGGGAACGGACTCCCACACCACCATGATCAACGGCCTCGGGATCCTAGGCTGGGGTGAGCATGATGTCAGGTATTGTGTTATGTTTGTGCAATCTTCTGTCTTGTTTATCTCACAATGTCTCTCTCATGCTCTCTCTCAGGAGTTGGAGGTATTGAATCGGAGGCGGTCATGTTAGGTCAGCCAGTGTCTTTGACTCTGCCACAGGTCATCGGCTGTAAACTCGTGGGGACCATCAATCCTCTTGCCACGTCCATTGATATCGTACTTGGCATTACTAAGGTACAGCGAGGTCCTTGTTTTCTTAATGTATGACATGCGGATCAGTGAATTTGCAAATCTTAATGACGTTTCATGCACTGATCTGATCTTTGTGTTTCAGCATCTGCGTCAGGCAGGAATCGGCGGGAAGTTTGTGGAGTTCTTTGGGCCTGGTGTACAGCAGC